TGATGTGTCAAAGAGGGGACAACGGAGAAAGAATGAGGCTCTGTCGCATGAAATTTATTTATTAGGTCACTTGCATTGGGTTTGCATCCTATTTTGATGTAAATTAGTTAGCATCAGATAATCTAATTATATTAAGTGATTACAATGCATTAACAAATTGTTGATGTAATTTGTGATGCAAATAGTTTGTGTCAAATGCTTGTCAACATAAAGGGTGAAAAAAATAGTTTGTGTCGACATATTATCGATGTAATGTTCCCCTCTACTAATTGGCATCTGAATTCACCACAAGGCAGAAGCAACTTAGATGTTAATATTTGCATCAAAAATTTGTGGATTTGAATACTGACACTAATTTGCAAGTTTTCTATAGTAAATAATATTCATCTTTATAATGAAATCAACCAAAATAACCATGGCCCATATGATTTACATGATCCTTAAAATTATGTGGTGGCATGCCTTTAGTCAAAGAATCTATTACCAATTATTTTCTCATGTGTTCAAAAATCACTGTATTTTCTTTAACACGTTCTCTTATGGCAAAGTGCTTAGTGTTAATATATTTATTTCAAGAATCTGTTTTGTTATTCTTTGCCAAAAAAACACTATAATTGAATTGTTATGATATATCATGAATGGTCTAGATATGGAATTCACAAGTCTCCACTCATAAATGAAACTCTTTAATCATATACCATGTGATGTAGCCTCGAAACATGACACATGAACTCGGCCTCAATAATGGAAGTAGAAACTAAATTCTTTTTTTTTGCTCCTCCACAGCTCTTTCGGCAAACATGAAAATGTATCTGAATGTTGATTTTTGAGAATCAACACGCCCAAAAATGTCACAATCAGAATACACAACCACCTCCAAACTATCATTCCATCAGAAATATATGTATGTAGTCTTTGGTAACTTGAAGATACATCATCACCTTCTTTACAACTTGCTAGAGATATATACTTGGATTACTTTGACATTTTCCTAACATTCTAATTGTAAATGCTATGACGGGTCTTGTGCAATCTAAGCATACATTAAACTACTAAAAACTAAAGCATATGGAAAATTTTGCATTTCCTCCCTTTCAAAATCCTTTTTGGGCACTGACTTAAACTGTATTTATCACCCTTTACAATCAAATCTATTTTTGATAAATAATATTTCATTCTAAATCTCTCTACAAGCTGATTAATATAAGTCTTTTGAGATAACCCTAAATGGCCTTGAAATCTATCTCTTTGTATATTAATGCCAATGAACTAAAAGGCATCATCCATATCTTTCATATATATTAAAATTTTTAGAGAGAAATAATTTCACTACACGTAATAAATCTTCACAATTAGTTGCAAGTAAATTATCATCCACACAAAGGATTACGAAATAAAATGTGCTCCTACAATAACCTTCTGGTCTATACATTAATCTATGACATTCTCTACAAATCTAAATAAAGAGATTACATTATAAGAGTTTGGGTACCATTGACGAGAGGCTTATTTTAATACTCATATAGATTTTTTAAGCTTGCACACCAAAGATTTGTTGTCTCTAAAAGAAAATCCTTCTGATTGTTTCATATAAACCTCCTCTTATATATTTTCATTAAGAAATGCAGTTTTTACATTCATTTATTTCAACTCCAAATCAAAATGTGCTGCAAGTGGTTCGATTATTCTGAAGGAATATCTCTTAGATATAGAAGAAAATGTATCTATGTAATCTATTCCTTATCGTTGAGTGAATCCTTTGGCAACAAGTTTTGCTTTTTATCTTTTTATATTGCATAATGAGTATTTTTTTTATTATATAGACCCATTTACAACCTATGACTTTTGCACCAAGATCCCTGACTTCATTATGCGACATAGTCATCCCATCTTTCATGTCATCAAATCATAAATCACATTCCTTATTTTTCATGGGTTGAGAAAATAGTTCGCGATCATTTTAAACTCTAATATTTATAGTCCAACTCTTGAAGATACATGATATAATTATTAGAAATTACAGATCTTCTTTCTCTAATAGACCTTAAGGTTGTAATAATTTTCTCTTGAGGAGTTGATTGTTCAATTGTATTTGATACCTCATGAATATTTGGGTCTACTAACCCATTATCAGTAGCTTATGGAATCCCGAGTATTTTTTGTCTAACACCCATTTGATCTATAGGAGTGTTACTAACAACAATCAACTTGTCACATAAAATGGGAGGTCGAGCATCTATATGTCCCTTCTCAGAAACCAAGCTCTATAATAAATCACTCTCACTAATAAAGTCATCTCTAGAAATTTTGTATTTCTTGATTCCACAATCCTAATATTGTTAGATGAAAATCTGTCACCCTAACATTTCAGCATATCCAACGAAATGCCCATCAATTTTCCTTAAATCAATCTTTTTTTCTTATAGATTATAAATTATTACTTTACATAGACATCCCCATATACATACATATTGCAAACTCAGTTTCCAAACTTTCCACATTTTAAAAGATGTTTTAGAAATAGCCTTAGTTGGAACCCAATTTAATATTTACATTATTTTTTTAAAAGTTTCAGTCCATAAGTATATAGGTAATTTGGAGGTACTAATCACGCTCTTTAAAATGTTCATTAAGGCCATATTCATCCTTTCAATTTCAACATTTGATCAGGTGAGCCAGGTAAACTATATTGCACAACAATCTCATTTTCTTGAAGGAATTTTGCAAATAGTTTAACTTTTTAATTGTCCATCATTAGTGTTTCTCCTATAATACTCACCATCTTTATGTGATCTCATAATTTTACTTTATTTATCATAATGTTTCTCTACTTTTGTCTTGAAAATCTTAAAGACATCTAATGCTTCATTTTAATTATAATGCGAGTAGAGATATATGTATCTTGAGTAGTAATCGAAAAGGATGATAAAGTATTAATGATTATTAAAATTCATATATGGAGAACAAATATCTATATGTATGATTTCCAATATGTTTGTACCTCTTTTTGAACCTTTCTTTGACTTGAAGCAAGTATCAAAGTCAGTGAAATCCAAAGTACAAAGTACTTTTTTATTCACTAAACGTTTTAATTCTATCTATGGAGATATGTCTTAATATTTGGTGCCACAACATAGAAAAATTTTCATTTATAACACATCATTTAATGTCATCTTGAACATACATCACATCAAGAACAGAAGTATTTTGCAAATTAATATAGAAAAGACCATCTGACAATACAGCACTCCTAAGAAATTTATATTTGTAATAAAAAACAAACAGAAGTTTCTAAAATGTTGAAGGAATAACCCAAAGCTATAATTCTTGATATTGAGATTATGTTTCTAGAAACTTGGTACATAAAAAGTATTTTCTAATTTCAAAGTAAAATAAGTACTAACTACTGATAACATGTTCATTTAACTTCCACTTGTGAGAACATATGGTTCCCTGAATAGTTGTTTTGTTCACTTCTCACTGATTTCCTTAGGTTTTACATATTGTGCATAGTATTACAAATATGAATAACCCAAATTAATCCATCAACTATTATAAAAGATATTAGTCATGTTAAATTTATAACTGACAAATGAGATTATTTTTCCTTTTCTTATTAAGAAAATCCTTGAATTTGATGAAATCCTTCTTCATGTGTCTCTTCTTTTTATTGAAGAAACACTTGAATTCCATTTTTATTTTAGGTTGGGGTGATACTTCACCATTTCTTATCTTCTTAATTTGACTTTGGCTCCAGTCCTTCTGTTGTGTAACTAACATTACACTTTCACCCATTTTCATAGCCCTCCCTCCTTCCTCTTGAACACACATGGTCATAAATTCATTAATTGACAATTTATATTCATGTGTGCCACCGGACTATATTGTTGTAGAAGGGTGTTACAAATGTAGTTCAGCAAAAAGGACTTTGATATATCAACCTCAAGAGTCTTCAATTGAGCTGCAAATGTAAGGGACAATTTTGTATATCTCAATTTTCAATTTCTTAAAAATAACTTGAAGAGAAGTTTAATCGAGCACGTAACGAAGATAGATACAGCTTTTACAATTTGATTCTATCAATGATAGAAAACTAAAATTACAAATGAAAGAAACACATTGATGCCATAAAATTGCCTTAAACATAGATTTGATCCAATAACATAAAGGCATAAATTTATTTATGCAAATAGCATACCCTCCGCCAATGATTTGAACATGTTTATAGTCCATTTTAAAATCTTCTCAAGTTTATTTCCCTCTCCAATTGATGATGTATTCGCTCTTTAAGGGGGTGTTTCGTAGCACGGTTTTAATAGTATTTACGACTTGATTTATGCTAAATCCAGCCAAACACCAAGAGAACATAAATTAAATCCAACGCTCCATTAGATCAACTCTTTCACTCTCGTTTCATCTCTTTTACGACGCAAATCCAAATTTAATAAATCTGATTGTGCCGAAAATTTACTTCACCCTTGCTCGAAGAACTCACTCTCCGTCATGTGCTCAATCTATGATTTACTGGATTGGAAAAATCCTATATTTGTAAATCAACGTCGCAGCCTAACACTACCTAAGATAGAATAGGCAGCGGTACCAAAAACCATAGTTATTTTTGTTCTATCATAAGGATAGTTATTATAACTACTTTCACAATAATTTGGACCATAATTAATTAACATTTAATTAAATATTTAATTTATCGTAACTTATGTAAATTTCGATAACTTTCTAAAATTAATATGATTTGCACATAATTAATTAACGATAGTCACCACAGCTTTTTGACCAGCAATTTCTTCTGCAGCAGCTTCACAATCATTCCGTTAAACAGCTGTAGCTACCTCAAACATACCTTTAATCACAACGTTTTAAGATAAAAGAGGTTTTACATAGCTCAAATTAAACATTTTATAGCGACAAAAGTATTTTTGATTTTAATTTTTTTTCGCTTTCGCATATGTCGGCTTAATTATGTGTACGTATGACTATGGCAGGATCACGTACAAAGGAGAATCCACCATGAACACGACTACTTCGCCGGATCATTAAGCCAAGTCTCAGACTCAAGCGATTCGCAAGAACTAGATTTGGAGCTGAGATTATAGATGAACATGCTGAAAAATATAGCCGTTTATTAATTTGGAAAACCAAGGATAAGTTTGTTCCTAACTAGTTTTTGATCAAATGGACATCAATCACATATATGGTATTTTTATGTTTCACTCCAATAAGAACAATTAATTGTATACTGGAAGACATTTTCATTTTCTTAATACATTATATACGGTTTATACGAATAATTAGCTAGCAAATTAAACAATCTATTCTTTGAATTTCACAAAAATTTACGTATTTACCACACAATTTGGGATGTAATACTAAAGATTTGAGTGTTATGGATGTAAATTTGAAAGTTTAGGCATTTAAAAAATCAAGCAATTTTTTTTTTTCTTAAAAGTTTTTATTCAGGATATATAATCTGACCCAATTTTTGTTACATTCTAAAAGAATTTTTAATTCTTGGAGGCATAGCCGTCCTGATTAGGAGGAAACACTTCATCCGGACACCGCACGTCCGAATGTCCAACCACTGAGTGTCGCGTCGCCATACACCTCATCAGCAGGTGAAATGACACTTGGTGATTGACCATCTGGACGTGCAGATGTCCGAACGAAATATTTTTTTCCCCGGTTAGGTTAGGGGGGTTTTTAATATATAATTCTCAGAGAAATCATCCTTGCAATTTATTAAGTTCAATGCTTAGTCAATGTGGAGAACCTTTGTATGCTTCTATTCTTTTGTATGGGTAAATTGAGGAAAAACGAATTCAGAACAAAGCTTGTGGGAGATAATATTGCCAGTATATCTACTTAATATATCTAATGAAGTTGTAGCTTCTTTAATACAGAATTATATTTGACTGAAGTTAGATGTGAGTTATAAGACTTTATTCTTTTTTACTTTGTACTAATAGTCTAAGAGACTAATTTTAACTTTTAGAATTGGTACGTAGTCAATTACATTGATTATAAATCATTTTATGTCTTGGTTCCATGGTTGATTTGCAAGATCAAATAGAAAATAATTGCCAACTTCATAGTGGCTCGCTACTTCGATTGTCATCATAAATTATGAAAGAGGTCAGAACTAGCCTATGCTACTCATTTCATCGCCATACCTCTGTTGCGGTCTGGTTTCTTTACACCCCTTGTCTCCACAACCTTTACTTTTTGTGCTTCCTTTCATCTTAGCTGCCACCACTACACAACCTTTACTTTTTGTGCTTCCTTTCATCTTAGTTACCTCTCTTTTATTAGATCTACCGCCCTTCCCCCTTCAAAACAATATGGCTACTACCACTCCCTTCTTCCTAATGGGACCTAATAGCTCCTACTTGCTCCGGCACTAATTTGCTTCATTCCCTATCCGGCCTTACCCATCTCAACATTTAAGATGATTTTTGTGTTGACATCTTATTCTCCATTAATGAGAATTCATTCTCTTTTGAGTTTGCTTTACCCTTGCATCACCCTTCCCTTTTCTAATTGTTTAGAGTATTGGAGTCCCTATAGCTTTAATGTCTTTAAGCATCATGTTATCAATTGATGTTTTGTAAACTATGTTCAAGCTTTACAAATCATCTTCTTCTTGGTCTACTCTCACTAGTTTCCTACTCCAATGGCTAATGGGGGATTCCTGTTACTCTACAGCTCTCCTAATCTCTCGTCCTCTAGTTGCTTATTTCGTAGAACCCCTCCCAAATAATGCCCCTTTTAGTGTAAACTCTCCACCATTGGCAACAAGTTCTACACTTCCTCATCAAAATAAATTATTTTCCTCATTATTTGATAATGCTTTCCAAATAATCAATCACAATGATAGAACATGCCACCCTCAACTTTTTTTCCTAAGTTATTTTCAAACCTATGTCTATTTCTTCTCATGAAATATATTGTTGGATTTCTTCTAAGAGTGTTCAATCGCTCCTATTCGGGAAGCATTATTCACCTTAGCATTACTATTTTGTAAATCTACTTACAAAGATGTTTCTACTACAATTCTCATTAAACTTTTGATCGCAACGATTCTCATGAAATTATATATGAGTCAGCATTTATCTGACATAGTTTGGATTGGATTAAAACATAGTGGCTATCATCTAAGAATACTTATTTAAAATATTTTCAAATTTTGTTTGCTGTCACAATGAGTATTTCATTTGTGGACATAGTAAAAATCCTCTAAAAAATAATGTGGCCGATTTTGCAAACCCTTTAGTAGCATAGTTAAAACTTCTCTCTTAAGTGGTTCATGTTAATATGTCAACCTTAATACTTTCTTCTTCTTTTCCTCGTAATCAAGAACCCCCTTTAGATCATCAAATTTTTTAACAATAGATTAATTTAATGATTTAATTTTCTAATATTTTAATCACTAATTTTGCTCAACTATATTCCAATACATCAGTTATCTTTGATTAAGACATAAAAGTCACATATACACAACCAAATTCTCATTTTATTTGTACTATTATTATATTAGAAGATAATACACCAATGTATGTTTCTGAGTATTTCAATCTGAGTATTTCAAGGAGCCTATCTTTAATAGATGAGAAAGGAAAAAAAATAAACTTCTTAAGAAGTGTACTCACCATACAAGAAAGTTTACCCAAATATATTTAGAGAGTAATATACTCATATAGTTGAACTATATAATGAATAGCACCTCTCTTAAATTTTTGTTAAATATTTATTTATGATCTCTACGTATAAATTTTGAGAATGAAAATTGAAATTTACTATATAATCATATTTTTTAGATACTATATGACGAGTTATTATCAAATTTTTATCATAATTTTCCAAAATTAACCATATTTTTTAAACAAATTACGAGTATTGTATGACCGAAAACCCATAGAATATGTTTAACCTATGAATTGTCTTTTGTGTTAGCCCATTATGATGGGTCAATTTTAACACAACACTTAGATCAAATAATTTGGTCAATTGACTTGTCAGTTATGTTGATCCAACCAATTTGGTCCACTAAAGCAAGCTAGCTAGAGTTGAAGAGATCACTAAACAAGCAACTCAACTACACATTTGGCTATTTAAGCTTTATAATTTAGTCTCTTTAATGTAGCAATTAATATAGATTATTTAAACCTACCCAAATTTATAAATAATGGAGGCTCTCTTAGGGTAGGGGAATTGAGAGTCTCTTATTATCTATATAAAGTTTATTAGAAAATTAGAAATTTCATTGAGCTCCTCCTTAATTACATCTAACTATTTTTGTGTTTTAAGTTTCCTTTGATCTTTTCTAACTCTTTCTAATGTGGTTTGGTTCCTTGGACATATCAAGTTCTAATATCCCTAAAGATGTGGTGAGCACGGGTCATTCCACAAACTAGAAGAAGAGTCATTTATGGAGCAGAATTCAGCAATAAGGAATATTTTGTGGATATAGAATGTACGATGAAGCCTATCATTATTTATGTGTTGGGGGTATACTTTATTAGAGAGAAAGAATGTACAGACCGTGTGACCGATCTTTTTTATAAATCAACAATTACAAGAATTTGATGACGCTACTAGAAGATTTAAATTCCAGCAACGATGCCAAAAACTTGACTGTGACTTTATATATATATGTTTGATTTAATAAATATGTATAGATATAATATTCAATAATGTTAAAGTCAAATTTGTCAACGCAAGTAAACGTATCGCTCAAGTAATATAAGGCCCTAATGGAGTCCTAGATATCGATCCCACATGGAGAAATAGAATATTACGGACTAAGATTTAATAAAAAGTAATACTTCAACTACAACGACGTTCAAGTTTCTTATCTGTCACTAATAGGCAATTGAAATAAGTAGATAATTTGGATAATAACTAATTATAGAAAATAACGTTTAATTGTGATATTCAATATATAAGAAAGCATCATTCTCCTTGCCAAGAAATTATAGTGAATGGATAAAATGAATTAGTTCAATTTATATTGTGTCAAATAGGAGCATACCTATTCTTTACCCTTTGATTCCAGGCATAAAGAACATTGACTAATCCTATGCTTGGTTACTAATTCTGCGGCTAGGCTGGAAGGATATCGACTCTCACTTCGGAGCTCCCACGTTCCCCTCACCTGAGGGCTAACATCTACACATCA